CTCTTCTCCATGGAAGCCTCCTCGGAGGGGGCTGTGAGCTTGAGCAGGGGTGGGTCTCCACCAGCCCTGGAGCCACACTCGGGCTGGGGCATCTCCATGTCCGAAGGCGGACCAGACCCAGGGGCCTCAGGCCCACGCTGCAGCTTAGCAGCTGCTCGCTGCCGCTTGAGCTCCGCCAAGGTGTGGTGGGCCTTGGCCCGGCCCAGGGTGTCAGGGGCCATACTCTCTGGGGGACTCAGCTGGTAGGAGACACTCCGGTCCAGCCGTTTGGAGTATAGGTGCCGTCCCAGGGTGCCCCCAACTCGGCCGTTGTGTGGCCTGGACACTTCGGCGTCTTCCTCCTGTGGGGGGAGCATGGGCCCCAGAGGCCATTAAAGAGGGCCCTGTCTCGGCCCCCCTGGCCTTAGGCCCACTGCATCGTGGTAGTCAAGGGGAAGGCATGAGGGTGGGGCACCAGCCCAGCATATGGGTGTAGGGTCACTGACCGCAATGGCTCCTGGGTGAAGGCCTGCCCCAGAGTATGGGTGGGGAGGAGCTCACCTCAGGGGGCGGTGGCCTGAGCTCGGTGTCTGTCTGGCCATCCTCCTCCTCCTCAGGGGGCTCTGGGCTGGTGGGAGGTGGCTGTTGCCACACAATGGCCTCCTGGGCATGCTCCTTTCGGTACAGGCTGGTGCGCTGGGTCAGACTCACACGCCTCACCACCTTCCTGGGGGAAGGCAGGGTGAGGGTGGGGGGAGGACGTTCCCTTCCCTGTGGACTCTGTCCCAGGCTCCAGCTGGCACCTTGGCCCGCCAGCTGACGTCAGTGGAGGCAAAGACCTGGGCATTGCCAGAGGGGCAGGGGGTGGGGCCACAGTGGGGCAGTTGCTCACCCCCGGCTGCCAGCACTGGAGGTGCGGCGACGCAGCAGAGAGCGCTGGCGACCTTGGGCCCGCAAGAGTGCGTCCTGCTTGTGCTTCAGCTCCAGCAGCTTGGCCCGAACCTCCTCGTCCCCGCACACATCTGAGGAGAAGTGGGTGGAGGATCAGGGGCATCCTCCCGCTGGTCACCTGCACCAAGAGGAGGTGACCCCCAGCTCACCAAGAGGCGTCTCTTCCATCAGGGACTTCCCGTTGAGGTCGGCGCCATGTGCCACGAGCAGCTCTACCAGGTGCACCTGTGGGCCAGTGAGCCCAGGCTGCTGAAGGTTCCAGAGTTGCAGGCCCACCAGCACCCTAGCTGTCCCAACTGCTCCAGCCCCACACTCACCTGGCCCCAGTAGGCCGCAGCATGCAGTGGCTCCCAGCCGTCGCGGTCTTTGGCGCTCAGGCTGGCCTGGTGTTCCAGTAGCAGGGCAGCAGCCTCGCTGAACCCATTGGCAGCGGCAATGTGTAGCTACAGGCAAACCACCCAGCCCTGAGACCTGGCCCATGCCTCTCCAGTAGCACCCTCCTCCCCCTGCGTCCTCTGGCCATGTCCTCACCAGCGTGGCCCCATGGTCCCCAGGGGCATCCAGGTCGGCCCCCATCTGCAGTAGACTCTGGATGTCCTCTAGCATGTGCAACTCTGGCAAGGCCCGGGCCCCCTCGATGCCATCCTGAGTGATGCCTACAGGGCAACAGGCTCAGAGCCAGCACCGCTGGCCCCACCCCTGGAGGCAGGTGGGATCACACTCACCACGGTCAGCCATGGCCGTCTCAAGGCAGTCCAGTGTCTGCTCATCCTCACACAGGTCATAGGGCATGTTACCATCAGTGTTGACCGCCAAGAGATCAGCACCACTGCAGGGAAGGTGGACAGGGTGCTAGCCA